GGATTTTTAAGTCCTTGATACCCATCACAGCAGTCGTCTGATTTGCTTTCTGTCAGAGTCTTATCACTGGATTTTATGGGTGAAGCTGGTTTCATCCTGAAGAAATGACTCTAACCAGAAATGGCATTAAATTTTACAGCATGGAGGTGCTTACGATAACTTGATAAGGCCACTTCCATTCACAGTAGTTGGATTAGAACAGAATCCAGAGTTCCAGGTTTTTGGTAAGACCTAAATACCAGGCTGAATTTGATTGAATTCATTCTCTATTTGGGTGAGGTAAAACATTATTTCCATATACTTGAATTCCCTGCTGCACCTGTCCTAAGTGAATATCATACTTAGTTCATTTTAAACTGCATCCAATAAGTTTTTTTTTTTAAATGGCCTAACATTTTTTTTTAAATGGCCTAACAATAGCTCAAACGGATTGAACTGAAATTTTGCCTTAGGGGCTATTTTGTATCTGAGGAGCACTCTGGGTAAGAGTGAGAGCCTAGAATCAAAAATTTCTTGGTATAATCTTCCCAATACTTTTTTAGAGTATGACTGAATTTCTCCACTTTCCCTAACAATTGAGGGTGCCAGGATTCATGGAGCTGATAATTTATTTTTAAAGCAGAAGCTAAATCTCGGATATCTTTAGAAGTGAAAGAAGTACCATTGTCTCTCTATAGTGACCTGCAAGCCAAATCTAGGAATTATTTTAAGTAACACTTTAGACACTTCTGTGACTTTCTCAGCGTAGATGGGGACCACTTCTACTCATCCAGTGAAGGTGTCCATAAAAGACAAAAAATATCAGTAGCCTAAGCATTTAGGCATTTGTGTGAAGTCAAGCTGCCATCTCTCCCTGGGTGGATTCCTCAGTGCTGAACAGGTGGCCAGAAGAGGAGGCCAAAGACTCCCACTAGGTTCACCAACACACTGCACAAAGCGGATTGTTCTTACTGTTCTATTTAGTTGCTTCCCATGGAAGACAGTGTTTATTAATGTAAAACATCTTTTCCTAAGTGGAAAGTGTCATGTAATCCTTTTACTTTTTCCACTGCATCGGACCAGGAATAAGTATTTTCCTATTTTCTCTTGTTTAATAAACTATTAGTTAACTTTTGAAAACTTGATTGCAATGCTCATTGCTTTTCTTCTTCAGGGAATTCTGGGTAAGTGGAAACTTTCTCTGGATGGGGTTTAAGTCTTAAAATTGAATAAGAATTAAGAGCATTCTTCTAGCTATGACATCTACTATGCTATTTCTCTTAATTATTTCAGTACCGCTTTTCTTTATGGCCCTTACAGTGTATAGCTACTCCTTCACTGTTTCCAGTAACTTTCTCCATACTTTATTGAACCATTTTTGTCTATTAGATATCCCCTTTTCTTCCATATTGCAGCATGAGCATGTGATATGTAGAATCAGTATAAATGTTTATTCTAAATCCCTCAGCCAATTGACAGCCTCAAGTAAGAGCAATTGATTTTGCTGAATTGTGCTGAATTTCTGTCTAGCCAAACTCTAGCTTCCACTATCCTGGTCAGACTCAAAACAGCATATGCAGATTTTTCAAGCCCCTTCATGAACTAGGTTACTACCATTAGCAAATTCCAAGTTTTGTCTGGAATATCCAGGGAGTGAGCCTACTAGAATATATTTGTTTGATCATCTCTTTACGTATGTGATTTGTACTTTGACGGATTTCCTCAGGGATATAAATAGGATTTACTGGATTAAGTGTCTGACAAGTCCTTTACATATTGATTCTTCATCAAATTCTCTTTGCTATTCTTCAGGAACTCATTATATTGTTATATATTGTTATATATTATATTGTTATATATTATATTGTTTTATTATATTGTTTCTCTTGAATTCATCCCATAGTTCTCCAATATGCTGTTAATTTCTTTTTAGACTTTCTTTCTTTCTTTTTTTCTTTCTTTCTAATTAAATCACCTTGAGATAGACCACCACAAAGCTATTCATAACTGGGTTTTAGTCATACAATTTTTCAATACCCATCCCTCCACCAGTGTACATTTTCCTCTAATATCCCCAGTTTCCCTCCCACCCCCTTCACACACCCCCACCCCCACCACCCTGTCTGCCCCTATGACAGGCACCTTTCTTATTGCTCTCTCTCTCTCTCTCTCTCTCTCTCTCTCTCTGCATTATTGTTTGCAACTGAAGGTGGCTTGGGGTTGTGGATGTGGCTGCTTGGGCTTTTAGAAGCATGGCGAGGTGAGGGGGAAGTAGTCTATCCCTCCCCCAAGAAAGCCTGGAGATTTTAGTCACAAAAAAAATGCATACCTGAATTTTCAGCAAATTAATATCTTGTTGAGGTTTGCCCGAGACAGTGGAATCTGGCCGGGAAGGGGGGTAAGATAGCAATTTTGGATTGAGGGAGCAAGTAGTTGCTGGGGGCTGTGCTTGGATGGGCACTTGCTGAGCAGGAAGTGACTTTTGGGCATGGCTCCTAAATACCTAACTTTGGGCAGTTTAATTTCTCGGAAACTTGGTCTTGAGTTATTGAAGTCTGACCAGAGAAACATGGGTGATTTGGGGTTATCAGGAAGCCTAAGGGAACCATCAAGCTGACGATGCACTCGCCCCTCCAGTCCAGGTTGACCTACTGGCAGTTCCATGCCATTTGAGCCCTAGTAGCAACAGCAACAGAGGCCCCAGGAGAGACCAGGATCTGGTCCAGGGTTGCTACAGTACAAAGCTTGGGCACACTGGACAGGCTGCAGTCACCAGTCTAGTAGAACCTGACCAGGGAGCACAGGTCTCCAGCAGTCTCCAGTTGGCACTCACGGAGAATTTCCTCTATAATATGCTTCGGGAAAAACAGGTTGATCCAGGGAGGAAATGGCAGCAGGTCTGCCACGCCAGCAGGACCTCATGATGGGAACCCAGAGTACCTCCTCAACTCTGGGACCTTAACACCTGTGCTCCACAGTGGTGCCAAGTTCGACCCAAAGAACCCTATTCAGACCCATTAAAATTCTCCCACCTCCGAATGCCGACTGGTTCAGCTCTGTTGGAAAACAGTATGGACGATTCTCCAATAATTGGAAATTGAGCTCCCATTTGACCCAGCAATATCACTCCTGGGAATATATCCCAGAGAGGCAAAAAAAGTATAGTCAAAGTGACATCTGCACTTGTTTGTTCATTGCAGCACTCTTTACAATAGCCAGAATCTGGAAAAAACCTGAGTGCCCGAGAACAGATGACTGGTTGAAGAAACTTTGGTACATCTACACAGTGGAGTACTATGTAGCTGTTAGAAAAGATGAAGTCATGAAATTTACATACAAGTGGTACTACATGGAAAGTATCATGCTAAACGAAATGAGTCAGAAAGACAGGGATAGACATAGAAAGATTGCATTCATCTGGGGAACATAAAGTAACAAAATAGGAGACTAACACCCAAGAATAGCCGAGATAAGTACCAGGAGGTTTACTCCATGGCTTGGAGGCCAGCCGCACACTCTAGGGGAAAAGGCAGCTCAGATAGAGAAGGGAGCACCAAATAAAGGGTGTTGGGAGGATCCTCCCAGGATGGGAGAAGCATGCTGAAAGTAGACTATAGAATGAACATGATTGCTGCTCTTTTGCAAACCACAGCACCCAAAAGGAGAGAGAGAACAAAAGGGAATGCCCTGCCACAGAGGCAGGGTGGGATGGGGGGGTGTTGGGTGGGATACTGGGACCCATGGTGGTGGAAAATGGGCACTGGTGGAGGGATGGGTATTTGATCATTGTATAATTGAAACCCACTTAATCACTTAATCACATAACTTCCCGTATAATTAAAACCCAAGCACAAAAATTTATAAGTCTACAACTGTACCTCATGGTGTTTCACTAATAAAAATTTAAAAACAACAACAACAACAACAACAAAAAAAACCCTCTCCCACCTCCCACAGCACCCAGAGCTGAGGGATCTCTGTCAGCTGGTGTCCTGCAGCCACCATCCTCATGTGTCCCACTCGGGATGGTGCTCTGCAGTGAGAGACCAGCTGGTTTCATTTAATGGCACTCTCCCTAAGCCAGAATATCCAACGGGCACCCACATTCACTCATGAAGAAATTTTGTGGCCCCATAATCTGTTCAGAGCGCTGAGAGCTGCCGTCCCTCCGGTGCTTGATGCTGGACCACCACAATCTTGACTGGAACTCCTCCCAGACTTTCTTTTTCTCTGCTATTTTCTAGTGGTTTCCTCCATCTTGTCTTGTAGCACCTTGACCTTTTTCCTCAACTGCTATTATTCTTTCACTCGGACCATCTGTTGATATATTTATATTATCTACCATGCTCTGTTTCTGCCTGTACTTTTCTCATTTTGGCTCTCATATTTTCTTGTTCTTTGCTAACTACCTGTGCCATTGTTTTTTTTTTATATCATTACCATTCTTACCATGGTGTCATTAAGGTCATTTTCTGGGGGTTTACAGAGCTTATCTGTGCTAGTAGAGCTTTCTGTGTTGTTTTTACTCACTGAACATGGCCGACTTCTATGCATCTTCCCCACTGGATTTGCTCTGCTTCTGCTGTGCTAAGGATAAATCGTTACAGTTAGCTCTCATGGGAGTCTCTGAGGGACTAAGGGTATAAGTTGCTCCTTTTTCTTCTTTGGCCATCTTCACCCAGTGACAGAAAGTATAACTTTGAGCAGTATAAATTTATGAGTAGAACTGTCACATGGCTGTATAAGCATCCACCCTGTTCAGATGTGGAGGTGAACCTACTGATATGGCAGTGCAAGTCAGGTGTAAGACTGCCCAGACTGAGCCAGAAGGGAGGGTAAATCCGTCTATCTCAGGTTCCAACAATACCTGGGAAATGTCATCTGGGAGATTAATTTGGCCTGTCTGCTGGTATGTGCAGGGGTGGGTGAAGGAGCAAGCAGAGGTTCCATGACTGTTTCCCTTTTATATGATGAGTGTAAGGTTGTGTCTTAACCCCCTGTCATTTCTGTTTCTGTTACAGAGAGTATAAAAACAATAACATCACCATCAATATATATGTTGTCAATACTCTTTGGCTCTTCTCATTGGCTTGGTGCTCCAAGATTAACTCAGTGACCACAGACATGGTTCATGAACTAAGAAAGATAAATTACCCTTCCTACTTCATGGTGAGATGGTTGTTCAAATAATTCTTCCAAGTCAGGGATAACTCGACTCTTTGTATCCCACCTCACCCCTTCAGTGCCCACTGTGAAAGACCTTGAGGAACTACTTAGAGAGTTACTTACCATCTCTAAGATGTTGGATATGTGGTGGGTTTTCTCCCTTCTCACACAGATCCTTTAGGGATTTTCAGGAGTAAATCAGTGTTAGAATTGATGTTTCCTAATCCTCATTATATTCTTTCTATCCATTATATAATTTGTCTTTGATTTAGGCCGTATTTTTGTCACCCTGAGGAAAGTAAATTTCAAAGATATTAAAATTCTTTTGCATGGTCACAGGATGGCAGGCTCATAAAGAGATCTCCCTCCAGAGTTCCGTTCTTGCAGTCGCATCTTCTTAGAGGCATAGCAGCAGTGACTGGGTGGGGAGTGGGGAGAGAGACAAATGAACTTGAGCACGAAGTGAAAACTGTATGTCCTTAGTGAAGTGCTTTAGAAGAAGAGACAAGTTTCTTGTCTCCTTGCTTGAATTATTTTCTGATCCTACTACTGGTCATGCCAGAGTCTCTGGGACCAGAAGACCTAGGCTACAATCCTAACTAAATTCTGTCATTTAATGTTTGGAGGGAGCCTCAGATAACAAGCCAACTACATACAAAGGCTGCTTTTTAATTTCAAAACATAGTATATCCTTTTAAAAAATAGCTAGAAAATCTTTGACAAGGTAGTTCATGAAGCCAATTAGGTTTTGTGGCATATATTTTCACCCTATTGTCTCAAAAGTTACTGCCTGAATGGAGCTACTCAGTCACTTTAATTATACATTTATAATAAACTTAGCAATTTGTTAATGTTCTGAGTAAAGATTCATTCACATTTCTCTCCTATGGGTGACCTTTTAATAAACTTTTAAATTTTATTTCTTTGGCCACACCCAGCAGTACTTGGGGCTTACGCCTGGCGTTGTGTTCTGGGATGACTCCTGGTGATGCTCAGGGTTGGACTGGCATCAATCAAGGCTGACAGGCTACTTTTACTTTCAGTGTACACCCGGTTGACCAAGTGGGATGTGGTAAGGTATAAGAGAAAATAGCTGCGAAGGAACAGTACACTATTTTCTAGATAAACACCAGCTCAGGAACTTCATAGACTCAAAACCAAACCTAAAGCAAGGGCTAAAGGGGCTACTATAATACAAGACAAACCCTACAAGCACAACACACCCTTACAGAAAGATGACACAAAACCCCATAACAGTAATCTCTCTCAACGTCAGTGGTCTAAATTCACCAATTAAGAGACACAGAATGGCAAAATGGATTCAGAGACAGAACCCAACATTCTGCTGCCTACAAGAAACTCATCTCAACAGCCAGAGCAAACACAGACTCAAAGTTAAAGGATGGAAAACAATCCTGCAAACGAACAGCTCCCTCAAAAAAGCTGGGGCGGCCATACTAGTATTCGACAACATTAATTTCAGGTTGAAAAAGATTAGAAGGGACAGCGAAGGCTATTTTATCTTCATCAAGGGATACGTACAACAGGAAGAAATAAAACTCTTAAATGTATACACACCTAATGAGGGAACAGCTAAATACTTAAAACAACTACTAGCAGATTTTAAGGAGGACATTGCTAGCAACACAATAGTAGCCGGAGACTTCAACATCGCCTATCACCTCTGGGTAGATCAATAACAAAACTCAGCAAGGAAACATTGGCTTTGAAAGAAGAAATAGAAGAGAAAGGGCTTATAGACCTATACAGGGCTTTACACCCCAAAAAGAAAGAATACACATTCTTCTCCAGTGCGCACAGAACATTTTCCAAAATAAACCATGTGCTAGGCCACAAAACATACCTCAATAGAATCAGGAAGATAGAAATAGTATTAACAATCTTTTCAGACCATGATGCACTGAAAATAGAAGTGAATCACACACAGACATGGAGAACTAAATCAAACACCTGGAAGTTAAAGAGAAAATAGCTTGATTTCTATTTCTATTGCTATTTATAAAGGAACGTTTGAGGAACAGTTGAAGAATTACTACTTTAATTGCTACTTAATCTTTCTCCGTTGACTTTTTTTAAATTTTATTAAAAAATTTTTTAATAGTGAGACATCATGAGGCACAGTTGCAGACTTACACACTTTTGTGCTTGGGTTTCAGTTATACAATGATCAAATACCCATCCCTCCACCGGTGCCCATTTCCCACCACCACGGATCCCAGTATCCCTCCCCCCCCATCCCCCCCCCCCCCCCCCCCCCGTCCCACCCTGCCTCTGTGGCAGGGCATTCCCTTTTGTTCTCTCTCTCTTACTGGGTATTTTGGTTTGCAAAAGAGGCAACATGATTGTCACCCATTGCCTCCATTGACTTTTAAGGTTTTTTGTGAACTGATTTCTGACCCTAAATAAAATCTTTCTCAAGCCCCATAGCTTTGGTTATGGTGATACTCTCAGATAATTTTACAAGGGTAACTCCCAAGTAGTATCCAGTGTCCTAGGGAAAACTTCTGGCAATACTATTTGACCAATAGAAAAGTCAAAGCTCAGTCATGTGACACAGTGATGGTAGGGTCCATCATGCTACAGGATAGCGTCCAGCAGTGTTTCTGGCAACCAGAGCTAATTTTGGAGATGCCTGGAGCCCGTGTAATTGTTGAGGATGAACTCAGAGCCTTGTGCATGCCAGGCATGGGCCCGGCCCTGTAAGCTATCTCCCTGGCCATTCAATTTTTTTAAACTTTTAGTCATCAAAAAGCCTCAATTCCAAATAAGAATTCCCAGGTAACAGTAACAATCCAAATCCAAGACTTCCTAGAGAATTAAAGCGCTAGGTAGAGAATTCTAAATGAGAAATCTCAATGTTTCTGCTTATCTCCTCTGCTTCTCCAGCCCTGCTAGGAATTCATGTTCGCTTGTTCAGGTCAGGACCAGGAGGAAGGGAATCAGAGCCAAGGATTCAATATTGCAGATGGCCTTCTGTGAAATTTCCAACCCCCTCTTTACTTGAGTGGCAGAGAAACTCTTGGAGATGGACCCTCAAGGGAGTCTTGGATGATAGTGATAGTCCCTTGGCACAAGTGAAGCCTCTCCACTTATTTTTCCTCATATGATTTCCTATCATGCAAGCACAGTATTTTTTTTGTAATTTTTTTTAAAAGAATTTGTTACAAAGGTAAAGTTCTTCATTATATAAAATTCAGCCATTACTAAGGATGATAAGGTTAAGAAGCGGAGGTATCACTGTACCACTGTCATCCTGTTGTTCGATTGTCTGGAGCAGTCCCCAATAACGTCTCCTTCGTTCTAGCCCTGAGATTTTCAAAAGTGTCACATTCGAGGCTCTTTCAGGGTCAGGAGAATGAGACTCATCATTGTTACTGGTTTTTGGCATATTGAATACGTCACGGGGAGTTTGCCAGACTCTGCCATGTGGGCAGGATACTTTTGGTAGCCTGCCAGGTTCTCCAGAGTAAGAACTACTACTATAGTGTTTTCTAATTTATTTATCATTGTGACTTAAAATATACATACATATTAATGTCTGTATTACAGTATATATATATACATATGTACACTACAAATGTACATTGCTAAATCGTAACTATAAACAAATTAGAAAACACTATACCCCTTCTTAACTTTATCCTCCTTAGTTATGTCTCAGAGCTGCCCCTTTGGATATATAAAATAAAACTATAAAACCTGCAATGTCTTTTATAGGTGCCATCCCCAGCAGTGCGGTAATTCCAGTGGTCTCTCCTAGCAGTGCTCAGCTTGGAGGAGCACTGGAGGTGCTGGAGTCCTCGGCTGCTTCCAGCAATATCTGGGTACAGGGGAGGGCACTCAGTGCTGGACCAAATTCAGAGCCTTGTTCTTAGAAGCTTGTACTCTACAACCTGGGCTCTCTTCCTGACCATAGATAAAGATATAGGTTTTATTTTGTTTCATTTTATTTTTGGTTTTGGAGTCACACTGGTTATTCTGGTATTCCGAGTCACATCTTGTGGTACTGGAGGAAAACAAGGTGTCAGGGATCAAACCTGGGCGTCCTGCACACAAAGTTTGGGTTCTAGCCTGTTGAGCTATCATCCCAGCTTCAACCTTTATATTTTAGAACTGAAAATTATGAAATTGAATTGCTAATAAATTCAGGAATCTAAGTATAAAAATTCCTTTTCTAACTAGCTCAGGCTAGTTTAAAGAACCCTTTTGGGCCTCTTTGTTTAAAGGGTTAGCACCATTATCCCAACTAAGCAATTCATGGTCTGGAAGGAGTCCAAGTTTGTAGCTTAAAGACATTCATACTGTGCTCGCTTTGGCAGCACATAGACTAAAATTGGAACAATACAGAGAAGATTAGCATGGCCCCTGCACAAGGATGACACGCAAATTCGTGAAGCATTACATATTTTTGGGATGGGGGGTGGGAGGGATACTGGGACTCGTGGTGGTGGAAAATGGGCACTGGTGGAGGGATGGGTATTTGATTATTGTATAACTGAAACCCAAGCACAAAAATTTGTAAGTCTACAACTGTGCCTCATGGTGTTTCACTAATAAAAATTTAAAAAATTTTAAAAAAATGTAGGGAGGTTCTCATGGTGTTTCACAATCACGATCACGATCATCCTGTTGTTCATCGATTTCCTCAAGCAGGCATCAGTAATGTCTCCTTCTTCCTAATCCTGAGATTTTAAAAGAGCCATTTCAATGCTCTTTCAGGATTAGGAGAATGAGACCCATCATTGTTACTGGTATTTGGCATATTGAGTACGACACGGGAAGTTTGCCAGACTCTGCCATACGGACAGGATACTTTTGGTAGCCTGCCAGGTTCTCCAAAGGAAAAATAAGATAAGATGTTGCGCTGGTGCTAGTGGCAGCTGGTGGGTGTGGCGCCTACCTACTGGAAGATGGGGGGTCTGGGTGGAGAAGGCCCAGTCCCAATCCGAGTAGGCTTGGAGACCTCAGCCCCAGGACACGCATGCCTGGGTTCCTCTGCCACTTCTTTCATGCATGAGGCCTTGTCTGGATGTGTGGAGAGTGGTCCCAGCATGGCTGTGGCTGGCTCCGGAGGTCCTCAGCTGCTGAGGCTCTGCTCGGGGTGGGGCGGGGGGTAGAGAAACTCAACCCTCCCCCCTCCAAGGGGCCCCGGTGAGGACAGCCAGGCGCAGGGGCAGGAGACTGTGCCCTGTGGTGTTTCACTAATAAAAATTTTTTAAAAAATAAATAAATTTTTTGGAGCTGGAGCAATAGCACAGCGGGTAGGGCGTTTGCCTTGCACGCAGCCAACATGGCCAACACAGGTTCGATTCCCAGCATCCCATATGGTCCCCTGAGCACCACCAGGAGCAATTCCTGAGTGCATGAGCCAGGAGTAACCCCTGAGCATCGCTGGGTGTGACCCAAAAAGCAAATAAATAAATAAATAAATAATTAAAAAAAATGTAGGGAACAGGCTTTTAAACACCTAAGGATTACCTGTGTGGAATGGTCAGGGTGAGCAAGCTTGGGCTTTGTTGTCTAGAATCAGGCTTCATTACATTAGGGGTTAGTGGGGAAAATCTGAGCCATTTATTTATTTATGTATTTTTCTGGCCTTAAAATACTTTTTTGAAAGGAAGGAGAAAGAGAAAGTGCGAGAGAGTAGAGAGTAATGCACTCAAGAGAGAGCAAGAGCTTCCCCAAAGGCTCAGAGAGAGGCCCAACAAATATCTCAGCATTAGACAGGAAAGTACACATCTCAACAGGGGAGATGTGGGCGACCAATGTGCTTGGGCATCACATGTGCTCGGCCATGTGGGCACAAGCAGCACAAGCACCTGAGCAATTTATTAATTTTTTTAGACATCATTTTTTTCTCAAATTGACCATGATATTTATGCTTTTCTGTAAAAATTTAATTTATTCAGCAATTTTATTCAACACTGCATGACACTGATTCTTTACATGTTGGGAACAAAGGAAAAATACTTCCTCTTATAGCGCTTATGTTCACGTGTGTGTACAGTAGCACTCTAGTTCGTTGATTTGCTCAAGCGTACACCATTGTGAGACTTGTTGTTACTGTTTTTGGCATATTGAATATGTCATGGGTAGTTTGCTAGGCTTTGCCATGTGGGCGGGATACTTTCAGTAGCTTGCCGGGCTCTCCGAGAGGGGCAGAGGACTCAAACCTGGGTTGGCCGTGTGCACGACAAATGCCCTACCTGCTGTGCTATCGCTCCAGCCCATGTACACAGTAAATTAATAAATAAGTATGGATGTACTTATGAATGGTTAAAAAAAATGTGTTCACCATAATCTGATCTGATAAGTTTTATAGAGTAGCTACTCAGTATCACCTAGGGTGGGTGGGGGCTGCCTCTTAAAAATGCAGAAATCCTGTTTCCTAATTTGTGGTGAGATACAGGAAAGCCGATATTTTTTTTCCATTTTTTTTATAATTTTATTTATTGAATCATTGTGAGAGCAGTTACAAAGCTTTCGGGTCTAAGTCTCGGTCATACAATGAAACACCCGTACCTTCACCAGTGCCCATTCTCTACCACCAAAAACCCCAGTATACCCCCATCCCACTCCCTCCCTCTACCTGTGGGGCAGATGATTTCCACATTACTCTCTCTCTACTTTGATCACATTCAATATTTCGACACCAGACCCACCATTATTATTTGAGATTTACCCCAACACTCAGATCTGCTTAAAAGGCAACAGTAGACAATTTGTGTTTTATTGCTGGTTATGAATAATATATGATGTCGCGTGGCTGCAGTAGGGCCATGTGATTTTGAAATTCTGAAATTTTAACACTTAAATCTGGAGGGATTTCTGCCACAAGCCGCTGGGCTTCTAGATTTTTTTCTGAGTCTCTGGGATCGTGGCCATTAAGCAGCTTGATCAGGAGCCAGAGAGGCCGTTCTTGGGCAATGACTTGGGGTCTCGTTGGGGTGGGGAGGACAGGCCCGGCTCCTCCCCCATCCCGTGAGGCCCAAAATGTCTTGTTACTGTGGGCCCAGACCTAACTGTCCAATGGCCTCTGGAGGATGACGGCCACTGAGCCACCAAGGGGGAGCAGGCGGAGGGACAACACCCTTTCCCCCCTGGGGTGGCCCGGCGACAGTAACCTACTGCGGGGTCCGGACGCATTTCTGCCAAAAGCCGCTGGGTTTTGAAATTTGTTTTTGAGTCTCTGGAAAGCCTATATTATTGAAAGGTGGATTTCAGCTGTGTTTGAAAAGCCACACTGTGAAAAATGGAGCAAAAAGCTAACAGTCAAGAGCTGGACCATAGTCTTAGGTCTGTAACCAACTTACTATGTGACTTCTCTAGAACTACCTCTATCCACTGGCTGAATCTAAAGTGTTTTATACCTTGAAAATCCTCCCTCCACTCATACGGGCCTCGTGTGCCTGAGACTATGAATTTAACTGAACTTCCTCCAGTTGTTCTACCTCCCTCCCGGGTCTCCCCACCCTATCATCTCTGGTGTCAGAGCAAGGGATTTGTCCTATGTGCTCTTAAGTGCCTTCCTGGCTCAAAGTATCTATTATAATAGTATTCTAATAGATACTGGAGCTGGAGCCATAGCACAGCGGGTAGGGCGTTTGCCTTGCACGTGTCCAACCCGGGTTCGTTTTCTCCATCCCTCTCAGAGAGCCCAGCAAGCTCTGAGAGTCTCCTGCCCGCACTACAGAGCCTGGCAACTCCCTGTGATGTATTTGATATGCCAAAAACAAACAAACGAACAAAAAACCAGTAACAACCAGTCTCACAATGGAGATGTTACTGGTGCCCGCTCGAGCAAATTGGTGAACAACGGGAGGACAGTGCTACAGTGCTTCATAAGCCTTTGCATGCTGAATCAGCTGAATCAGCTATTATAAAAGGAATATGTTTGTAGCCACAAAATCTACTTTATTTTTTTTAAGATTGAATAAAAACCATAAGCTAGTTGCTTAAAAACAAAATTGGTATGACCAGGTGTGTGGGTCACTTCTTTGTAGTGAAGTACACTTCTTGCTTTCATGAAATCTGAGTTCTGTCTCTAGAACGTCAATAGAATTAAAAAAATTAAAAAATTGGTATTTAGACCTAGTAAGTATTTTAATCATTTTGAAATAGTTATGTAAATTAGGTTGCTTTGTCAATAAAATTTGGGAAGAGAAGAAAAAAATAAATGAATAAATGTAAGTAAAAAACATTTCTGTAAATTTCTTTAATTGTACTTACAGTTCTTTAACTGTTTCTGCAGACAACAAATTCCTATATGTTCTGGTGGTTTTTACTGGATTTCCTGTCTGTAATTTTTATTGGTGCCATATTTTATTTCCATTGGTAAGTACATATTTATATATAATTTTAAATCAGTATTTTACCAAATCAAGATATCAATGGTATTTATAGAAAGTTGAGATAAAAAGAGGTCTGGAGCCATAGTACAGTGGATAAGGCTCTTGTCTTTCACATGACCAACAGGTTCTATGCCCAGCATCCCATATGGTTCCCAAAGCTCATCAACAATGGCTCAAGAGCCAAGTGTAACCCATGAGTATTTCTGGGTATAGGCCAAAAGCAAAAAAAGTAGTTTTGTTTTGTTTTTTACCGTAATCCCTTATGGTACATACCTGGGGAAACTAGGTTCATAATTTGAATTCCCCATTTCTTCTAATGCTGCCTGTACTTCTATACAACTTTTTGACTCTCACAAAAACTGAGTCAGTGTCTGCTACTGCATGTTCATTGTGGATCATAACCAAAAGTGGTTCATAACCAAATGCCTGTGACTTCAACCTCAAAAAAAAAAAACCTAGATATAAGATACTGTGCAAAAAAGACATTTCTAGGGAGCCTGCATTTTAGCCCTGACTTTCTGGGAGATGGAAATCACTACCTCTTTCCAGGTCATAGTTTTTTCACCTGTTTGAGAAATACACTGTGAGAATCCTTGTTGTGCAAATAATAGGTTGCAAGATTCAAAGGAGAGGGCAACGGGGAGAACTGTAGCTAGAGATTAAGGTATCTTTAGAGCTCACACCTGGAAAACACACAAAGTAATGGCAATTATTATTATGTGTGTTTTCCTTTAAAAGGGGAAAGTATAATACTTGTACTTAAGTGAGACTTTAAATAATGGTGGGTTTATTTTTTCTGGTCACTACCCTGAATTATTGTCCATTTATTTATTTATTTATTTATTTATTTATTTATTTATTTTGCGGAGGCATGTATGAGAGTGGAGGGCAAAGAGTGAATGAGACTCATGGATAATCTGCTTCCTTCTAGGTGGAAAATTCAGTAATAGGAGGCGCCTGTACATTACCTAAGGTAAAGTCTCTTTTTCACTGTATCCAAGGCACAGAATATGCTTCTCATATTTCGGACAATAACTGTCTGGAAAATTTAGAGACACTACTAGAGAGCAGTATATACTAAACATAATCTGGAGGGCCCTGATATCAGGCTTCATTTTAGACTTCACTCTGTAACTCGTGAGAGTCCGTGGTAGGTTTTGAGCACGTGTATGTTGTTTTGTTCATTTAGTCGTACATTTGCTCAACACAGTTTTGAGTAATTCTCTTTGTGTCAGGCAATGTTGCCTTTGGAGATAATTTAAGATGGAGGGGGAATTACTCAGGGAAAAAAAAAAGCAAAGAGGAAGCATCGGAAGTGTAGCAGTTGACACCATTGGACCAGTTGCCTAGATATAGGACATGATCACTGCCATCCCCTTTCAGGCTGAAGTGCCCATTCTGGCTTCATTTATGGGAGATGAATATAGGAAGATGAAAGAATAAAACTGCAGAGATCGTAGGACACTAGATTAGACTCTAGGCTCTGATTAGAAGCAGAAGTGGCAAATGAATTGTGATCAAAGGAATGTCATGCTTGGGTTTCTCTGTCAAGGGAAAGTGGGGAAATGCTTCTTTGGCAGAATGACTTAGGCTCTGGGGCAATAAAATAGATTCAGTAATGGGAAGGGCAGCTAGAATTTAATTTTCAGGAGGCAGTGATTTACAGGGAATTACTGGTCAGGGAAGTCAGTGCATTGTCAGAGGAAAAGAAATAAAAGGCAGAGGAGTGTTCAGGACCTTCCTTAGCTCCTGGAGCCTTAAGAAAAGCTGGTATAGTTTCAGTCATGAGTTAAATTGTAGATGAGTGAATAGTTTTTTTATAAAAATCTTTTAAAGTAGGTGTCTTCCATTTTGTTATATCTCCTCTTCTATTTGTAATACATATTTTTTCCTAGGTGGTTCTTAAGATTAAGATTTCTCCTTGTGAGAGAGAACAAAAGGGAGTGCCATGCCACAGAGGCAGGGTGGGATGGGGGGATAAGGGGGGTGGGAGAGGTACTGGGATCAGTGGTGGTGGAAAATGGGCACTGGTGGAGGGATGGGTACTCGATCATTGTACAACGGAAACCCAAGCACAAAAATTTGTAAGTCTACAACTGTACCTCACAGTGTTTCACTAATAAAAAAAAATTAAAAAAAAAAAGATTTCTCCTTGTACAATGAAGTCATGAAATTTGCTTATAAGTGGATGATCATGGAGAGTATCATGCTAAGTGAAACGAGTCAGAAAGAGAGGGACAGACATAGAAGGATTGCACTCATTTGTGGAATATAAAATAACATAATATGAGACTGATACCCAAGGACAGTAGAGACAAGGGCCAGGAATATTGCCCCGTGGTTGGTAGCCAGCCTCCTTAGCTCAGGGAGAAGGCAGCTGGAATAGAGAAGGGATCACTAAGTCAATGATAGTTGGAGGGACTGTTCAGGATGGGAGATGTGTGCTGAAAGTAGAAAAAGGACCAAAGGTGATAGCCTCTTAGTATCTGTATTGCAAACCATAAAGCCCAAAAGTAGAGAGAGTATGGGGGAAATTTTCTGCCATAGAGACAGAGAGAGGAGTGGGCTGGAGGAGAGGTGCGGATACTGGGGAATTGGTGGTGAAAATATGCACTGGTGGAGAGATGGGTGTTAGATCATTGTGTGACTGAAACTCAAACATGAAAGTTTTGTAACTATATCTCACGGTGATTCAACAACAACAAAAAAGATTTCTCCTTGTATTGATAGTTTTCTTTAATTTGAATTTTGATTTTTTGGAAAGAGAGAAGAGAGAGAGAGAGCTCTTCTTGGGATTTTTCTGAGCTCCATATATCAGCCACAAAATAATATTTACCTATAGCACTGTCCTCCTGTTGTTCATAGATTTTCTCGAGCAGGCACCAGTAACATCTCATAACAAATTGTGAGACTTGTTGTTACTGTTTTTGGCATATCGAATACGCCACCAGTAGCTTGACAGCTTTGCCATGCGGGCGAGATATTCTCAGTAGCTTACCGGTCTCTCCGAGAGGGGCAGAGGAATCGAACCTGGGTCGGCTGTGTGCAACGCAAACGCCCTACCCTCTGTGCTCTTGCTCCAGCCCAGTAATATTAGAGGGATAAGTGGCATTCAGCCATCTGAGATTGAGCAATATTTACCTAATTGGACAAATTATTGGTCTCTATTTTTCAAAAATTTTTGTTCTTATTCTATACTCTCAATTTTGAATTACAATCATATAGGTTTTAGGCAATTTGACATTAACCCAAAGGTTACTGAGGCTGCTCATTTGTATTTAATTATTGAGACATAATTAATATTTTATGTTAAAATTGTTTTATTGTGGCAATGCTGGTTTAAAGGAATGTAACTGTTTATATCATTATAGTACATAGTGTGTTCTATGCCTACTATGTTCATTTTTAGCTAATTTAATTTTGGGACTTCATTTTGGATGTCATATATAATAGGCTTTATACTGTGTAAAAAAATTACCATTATCAATAATATTGTAAACCACAGATTCTCAATCAAGGAAAAAATTTTTAATAGAAAATAAAATTTTAAAAAACGATCATAGGCATACAAAATAAAGCTAAAACCACAAATTCATCACCATAGTTTTTTTCAAGGTAGGTGTGAATTAGCAGGATCCTTTAGTTAGTATGACATCAAGCTAAAATTAAGGTGCTTACAACGGCTGCGGTCTCATCCAAGACTTAGAGTTCTCTTCCAAGCTCCTTGGTTGGTGAAGGATCATGGTTATAGAACTGAAGTTGTTACTATTTGTCTGATTATCATTTGCAAGGTTTTTCTATGATCTTGAGTATACCTTTATGTCCTAGTCATATGTCCCTCTTATATCATGATAACTTGCTTTGTGTCTTAGATAGCAGATGGATTCGGGAGAAAGAGAACAAAGGAAGTAAAACAAAACAAAACAAACAGAAAAGTTAAAGCATTAAGGTCATAAATCAAACATTTTCATTAATTACTTTTCTGTAAATGAAACAGATAAGCATATGCCATGGAAACAATAAGCATAATAATACTGGAGGCAAGAAGATTTCTACATATAAAATATTGCTGAGATATAGATTTTATGATTATGGACAGATCTATACCCAGAAGGTATTATTTGTCTCTTTGCACGTATTTAATAACTTCAAAATATGTGAAAAAAATTTAAAAATATTATATCTCTGACACAAACAAATTCAAAATTTAGAAAATATCTAGAGAGGCCGCTAAAAACTGAGAGTTGGTATATTTCTAAACATTTATTTGATCAAGGGACAAATCACAAGAAGAATAAAAAATCATTTTATTATTGGTCAGAAAAATAATATGAAGGTAAGGTGTTGTCTTGCATGCTGCCAACCTGACTTTGATCCCTGGTTCTGTATATGGTCCTCTATGTACTGCTAAGAATGACTTATGGCATAGAACCAAGAGTAAGTTCTGTGTATTTCTGGGTGTGGCTCTGAAACGAAAAAATAAACACAATTTTTTTATTGTATCAAGTCATTCAGTGAATGTGTTAGGTCATAAATTTACAATCAGATAGTGGTAATAAATTAAGAAACATGTTTATAATAGTATTAACTTTTATGTTTGATGTATAGTTATAGTTCTACACTTTCACCACCACCAAAATGATAACCCTCCACCACTGTCCATATATCACTTCTAATTCACTTCTTACTCTCTCTCCCCCAACCACCACTTTTGGTAATCTCAGTTCTGCAATCAAAGGCCACCAGTTTGTCATCTTTCTATACTGTCCCTTTTCTTGTTCTGTTTTTCTGTATAACAGATTAAAGAGATCATCAGATATTCGTTCTTATCTTTTGGATTGATTTCATTTAGCATGATGTCATTCAGTTCTATCCAAGTTTCAACAAATGAAAATATTTTATCTTTATCTTGTATTTATCATGGTATTCCATTGTGTGTATATACATACCTCAATTTCTTCATACATTTGTATATGATTGGTCCTTA